ACACAGTTAATAATCTTTCCTCCAGTCCTCATTCTTTTTATATAAGCAGGATTCTCTGATCGCTTGCTCAGCATATATACAGATTGTATAGAGGATACAACCCTGATGCACACCTTTCCTGAGTTTAAACCATGCAGTATTCCCTTGTTCTGCTGGCAAAACCACCTCTTGATTATGTGTTCAAGTTTGGCATGATTGCCATCAAGTGTTCTGGAATTCCTCTCCTTTTCGAGGGATTCATAGCTTTTTGTTATAATCTATATTTAGAATGCTTTGGAAAACATCTTTCTAGTATTCTTTGCTTTAAGACAAGATCCATTTGACATTAACAATGATATCCCTTGACCCAAGTCCTCTTCTGAATACAGCCTGAATCTGGTAACTCCCTGTAAAAGGACTGCTACAATCATTGTTGGATGATCTTCAGTAAAATTTTTCTTGCATGTGATATTAATAATATTGTTCTTTATTTGAGCATTTTTCAGGGCCACCTTTCTTTTGAATGGGTACAACTATGGATCTCTTCCAGTCAACTGGCCAAGTAACCATCTTCCAAATTTCTTGGTATAGATAAGTGCTTCCAGTGTTTCAACATCTTGTAGATACATTTCAATTGTTGAAACATCAATTCTCGAAGCCTCGTTTTTGGCTAATGCATTTAGTACAGTATGAACTTCTTTCAACACCATTGGTTCTTGCTCATATGTCAACCCCTGAAATGGTAGAATGCCAACTAGCTCGTTTTGGAACAGTGACTTAGTATTTTTACCATCTTCTTTGGATACTTGCTGCACCATTCAATGTTTTGCCCATGCTATTAAGTGCCAGCAAGTGAGTTACTACTCATAGTGAGCCTATGCACGACAGAATGAAACATTGCACAATATCCTGTGGCAACATCACAATTGTTTCCAAGCCTGAACCCATTGTTTCAGACCCTATTTCAATCCACTTCATTGAGGGCCTTCCTCTTTTTTGCTACCCCTCCACTTTACTAAGCATGATATCCTTCTCCAGGGATTTGTTTTTCCTGACAATATGTTCAAGGTACGTAAGACAAAGTGTCACCATCCTTAATTCTAAGGAGCACTCAAACTGTACTTATTCCAAAACAGACCAATTTGTCCTTTCAGTAGTCCATGGTGCTTTCAATATTCTTCTCCAGCACCATGATTCAAAGGCATTGGTTTTTCTTTGGTCTTCTTTATTCAGTTTCCAATTTTCACAAGCATATAGGCTATGGAAAATACCATTGCTTGGATCAAGGGTATTCTATTCGTCAAAGTAACATCCTGGCTTTTCAAAACTCTTAAGAAGGCTTTTGCAGCAGATATATCTAGGGTAGCATATCTTTTGATGATCTGACTGCTGCTTCCATGAGCACTGACTGTGGATCCAAGCAAGACAAAATCCTTGATAATTTCGACCTTTCTCCATTTTATTACTTATATTTACTTTATACGTGATATTACTTATTGTTCCAGTTGTGAGGATTTTGGTCTTCTTTACATTGCTTTCTAGTCCATACTGAAGACTGCAATCCCTGATTTTCATCAGCAAGTGCTTCAAATTCTTCTCACCTTAAGCAAGCAAGCTTGCGTCATCTGTATATCCCATATTACTGGTATTAATTAGGCTTCCTCCAATTCTGATGTTACGTTCATCTTCATATAATCCAGCTTCTCTGATTATCTGCTCAACATAACAGGTTGAACAAGTATGGTGTGGGGACACAAGCATGATACACACCTTTCCTGATTTGAAACCATGCAGTATTTCCTTGTTCTGTTCTCACAACTACCTCTTGATGCATGTACAAGTTCTGCATGAGTACAATGAAGTATTCTGGAATTCTCATTCTTCTAAAGGTTATCCATAGTTTATGATACACACAAATGCATTTGCATAGTCAATAACACAGCTGTCTGTCAGTTTGTTGCACTGTTGTGGTTTGTTTGTTGCTATGATGTTGGAAGCTATGTCACTGGTATTTCAAATGATAGCCTTGTCACCCAAAGGTAACAGATTTCAGTGGAGCTTCTACCGGTAGACTAAGAACAGACAATGACGAAGGACTTGATTCCCCACTTCACAAAAAGCAGTCTCTGAGAACCTTATGCATAGCTTCAAAACATTGCCAGACACTGAAGGCTTAATGAATGGAAGCAGAACATTGTCAACGATAATACAGGTGTGAGGGCACTCCATATGTGACTGAGGAGGAACTGATTTTTCAAAGTAGAGTCAAACATGGTGATATGAATGGAGTAATGCCTGTGGGAGTGGAGCCTTTGGGCTTTTTCACTTGCTGATGGGGCACAACTCAAAATGAGAAGAAACAGCTGCAAAAATCTATTAAGATTGGAACTTGGAATATATGAAATATGAATCTAGGAAAATTGGAAGTCATAAAAAATGAGATGGAATGCATAAAGATTTATATTCTAGGTGCTAGTGAGCTGAAATGGGCCCTTCTGAATCAGAGAATCATATGGTTTACTGTGCCAGAAGGACATGATCAAGAAGAATGGCATCATATTCACTGTAAAAAATGACATTTCAAAAACCTACCTTGAAGTACAATGCTGTCTGTGATATCATTATACCCAACCACATTCAAGGAAATCTAATCAATATGATTATTCAAATTAATGCACCAACCACTAAAGCTAGTGATGATGAAATTGAAGAACTTGACCAATGTCCTCAGGCAGAAATTGATTAAACATGTATTCAAGATGAACTGATAATTATTGGTGATTGGAATACTAAAATTGGAAACAGAGGAAAGAATAGTAGTTAGAAAATATGGACTTGTTGATAAAACAAGCTGGAGATTGCATGATAAAATTTTGCAACACCAATGACTTGTTCCTAGTAAGTTTTTGACAACACATGGACTTCTTCAGATCAAATACACAGAAACAAACTGACTATATATATATGTGGGAAGAGATAATGGAGCAGCTCAATTAGCAGCTAAAACCAGGTCATGGCCTGGCTGTGAAACAGATCATCAATTGATCATAGGTATGTCCAGGTTGAAGTTAATTAAAACAAATTCACAAGAGTCAAAATGTGACTTCAAGTACATACCACCTGAATTTCAAGAACATCTCAAGAACAGATTTGCTGCATTGACACGAATGACAGAAGACCTGATGTGCTGTGGGGATGAAATCAAAAACATCATTCATGCAGAAAGCAAAGGGCATAAAAAAGATGGACAGACACACAGAAGGAAGGATCACTGTGGATGTCTTAATTGTATTGTTCTTAATTGCATTGTAGTAGTTAAGACATATGGAAGACATGATGAGGTAAAAAAGCTGAACAGAAATTTCCAAGGGCAGGTCAAGGAGACAAAGCCAAAGACTATAAAGAAATGTGCAAGACCTAGGATTAGAAAACCAAAACAGAAGAACCCATTCAGTGTATCTTAAACTGAAAGAACTCAAGTAAAAATTCAAGCCTTGAGTTGTAATCTTGAACGATTATACGAGCAAAATATTGAATGATGTAGGAAGAATCAAGATAAGATAGAAAGAATACCAGTGACATAGCTTCCAGCATCACAGCAATACACAAGCCACCACAGTACAACAAACTGATAGACAAGTGGTGGCCCTTGCTCTTAAATTCACTTTAAATTGGATGTTCTGTTACTGGTCACCCAAAACACAAATGACACAATGGATTATCAGTGAAGTCTATGGGTGAAAACTTTTCTGGGGGAAAAACACTTTACTTTCTCAAATTCAGAGGCATGAATAAAAAAGGGAACAAACAAACAAAAGATCTTAAGAAACAGATTGGGGTTTTACAATAAAAAAAGGTAATGGTCATAAAGTTAATAACCATTAAGTATTTTCTATGTGCCAAGTACTATACTTGCTCAATTATTTTACCCAATCATCACAAAAACCCTAGGAAATACTATTCCCAATTAAAGAGGAAGAAATGGAAGCATAAAAAGTTTGACTAAATCTTCTTTAAGGGTAGATAGACATTTTCTATTTTCAAAAGGGAATAGAGATACAAGCCTGTTGAGCATGAAAAGTACAGGAAGGAGGTTAAGGAACTTGAGAAACGGTTATTCTGAACAACCACTGTTGGGCAATGGTCAAAGGACCACTTTATTTCAAATTACAATAAATAATAAATAAATCGGGGCCCGGAAGGAGGAAATAAGTTACCCAAAAATGTACTGCAATTGGTGGCAGCTGGAAATGAAATAGGGTAAAGAGAGGAGGACATACAGAGTAAGCAGTAAGCCTTGTAAAGATGGAGGCGGAAATCGGAGTGAGGTAACTACAAGGAAAGAACAATAAGGACTGCAGGGAGACCCCAGAAAATGGATGAAACGGGCAAGACTTCCTAAGCCCTTAAAGAGAGCACAACTTCGCCAACAACTTGATTTTGGAGTTTTGGCCTCCTAACCTACGACAGAGTAAATTTCTGTTTTGGGGGGCAATTAAATATGGCAGTCCTGAAAAATGAATACACTACCAATTAGAGGTAGCTAAAAATACAATGATCTGTTTTCACTAAATATTATAAAAAAATATATTTTTAGGAAACAATTTTGGAAAACACAAAACTGGACAATGAATTCTGTATCATATTCTCCCTATAGCAGAGTAACCCATAGGGATCGATTGTTAATTTCTCTTAATGTATGATTATGTAGAAATAAGAATAGATTGCTAAATACTAATACTGAATCATTTGACAATGTTCTGGTTATCCTCAAAGAACAAGAAATGGGATGAAAAAAAGCAAATCATGCAACTATATATATTAAGACACAAAGTACTAAAGGTCAACGGAAGGACAAGAAGATCTGACACTGGGTGGAACCATCATTCTCTTTCCTAGAAATAATGACGTTCATGCTTTATGTTAATGTAAGCATTCACTCATTTTATCTTAAACACAACTATAAAATTTCAGGTCTTTAAAGAGTATTTAGATAAAACATAAATTCAGAAATGGCTTACTCTGCAATATCAAGATATCCACAGGAAGCAGCTGCATGTAGTGGTATCCAGCCTTCATTATCAGGTTGATTAATATTTGCTCCATTTTCTACGAGAAACTTCACCATATCAACATTGTCATCAATGCATGCCTAAAACCAAAGTGAAGAGCATAATTAGAACATTTTGAATTAACACGACAAATAAATCGAGAATAAAATCCCTACTTTGTAGTATTTACAATGTCAATAAATATTCACAACAAGTTAGTTTGTTGCTATCTTGAAATCCAAATTCATTGCCATCAAGTTGATGCCAACTCACAGTGACCCGGTAGGACAGCGTAGAAATGCCCACCCCAGTTTCCAAAGACATAACTCTTCACAGGAGTAGAAGGCCCCACCTTTCTCCCTTGGAGCAACAGCTAGTTTTGAACTGTTGACCATGCAGTTAGAAGTCCAAATGTTAAATACTATGCCACCAGGACTAACTAAATTATTAGAGTCCTTACTTAGATATATACACAACAGTATTGGATGTGACCAAATTCTTGATGACAACCAAATTAGGCAAACAAGTACAAACTCAAAAGAAAACAATCAAGACATTTTAAGTAAGTACCAATAATGTCCCTTAGAGCAATGGTTTCCAAAAGTGCTCTGTTGTGGCCCTTCCAAAAAGATAATGAGTAAACATTATTTTCTTTTTTTTTTTAGTAAACATTATTTTCAAAACAGTTCTGAGATACTAATTCTCCTATTCACTATGTTGACAAGTACTTGTGGTAGAACTGTTGATGCCTTTGCACAAATAAGCAAGTTTTTTTTCTTTGTTTTAAAACAATTTTTACTTATTATGCCCCTAGCAATGCAGTAAAAATTAGAAATTTTATTAAATATTGATCCTGGGGTACATATCTTTTTAATATTCTATGGAATAAGATGAGAAGTATAAAGTACTTCTGCTGCATAGTTATGTATGATGGTGATCTTGAAGAAACGTTCTTAAGTGATGGGTTTGAAGGCTGAATTAGCAACTTTTTCCATGAAATACCATTTTTATTTGGAATGAATAGCAAACTATAGCTATCTTAAACTTGGATTTCAGCAGCCAATTTCTTATAAATGAACAAGATAAGCACTAAAAGAAAACAAATTATTTTAATTTATAAGTACGTTATGTGATATGGATGTTATTATTTTAAAAGAGCATACACATTCAAAGACCTCGGTTTTAATCTATAAAACTATAAAAATACTAACATATGCTAGCATTATGAAGAGTTTTTCTTTCTAAAATTCCCATGTCATGTTACTCTTCATATTACATTCAGCCAATGGGTGGTGAAATGGTTAAGGTTTTTGGTTGCTAAGCAAAAGGCTGGAGGTCTGCGTCTGCCTAGGAGCACCTCAGGACAAAGGTCTGGTGACCTACTTCAGAAAAATCAGTCACTGAAAATTTTATGGGGAGCACAGTTCTAGCACGACATACACAGGGTCACTATGGTAGTACTGCAAAGTGTTAGGAAAATAGAAAAAAATTAACATCACATTATTAATTAGGAGGCTTGTCTATAATTATTTTCAAAAATCACAGGTAGGGACTTCAAAATTTTGGTTAAAAACTCAATTTTAAGATAACGAAAAATTTCCATGAACCTTTGGAAGCCCCTTCTATAAGAGTCACAATAATAAGCCACGAGTTCAATAATTCATTGTAATGGTCACACCAAACTCATAGAAAATATTCATGATTGTGGGGCTTATTAGGAAGATAACAGATTAGAATTCAAGGTTAGGAATGCTCAGGATACGATTTGTCCAGTCAGGACAGCGTCTTCCCAGCCATGCCTGTAGGCAGGCTTTTCTCTCTGATCTTCGGTTTCTCAGTCACTTAGCTCCTGGCTCCCATCTTCTTCCAGCAAAGGGTATACTACTCGATCATAAATCTGATGGTCGTCAGCTTCCGTTTCGGGGATCAGCAAATCTAGCTCTCCCAATTAAGTGCCTGCTGGCAGCCCGTGGGCAAGCAAGCCTCCTGGCTCTGGCTCTTGGTTCTGTCACTGCCACTCCTCTGCCTCTTCTCTGGTGTCACAGTTTTTGGTTTCTAGATCTAAAAGGTTCAATTCAAAGGTGTTTGGGGATCCAACAGACACCTCCACTTCTGAGTCTTTTTTCTTCATGGCAATGAAAAACCCCATTCCTGCTTCCGAGATGGCCCATTTTATTCCCGGGAGGATGACAACAATGACCAATCTTCATGTTAGAGTTCTAAGTCTTTATAATCACAATGAACCCTGTTAATAACCACCATAATTGAAACATATAATCTTATCAGAATCTTCCTTCCAGTTCCTCTTATCCAGATCCACCAGGAAGAGAGGACATCCACAATCTATATGGTTGCACGCAACTCTTGGTGGGAATAACAAAGATATGGCTACAAGAACCATATTAAATAGTTCACTGAGCTGCAGGGCATGCTTCATGGAAAATTAACACGAAAATGGAATTTGAGCAAAGGCATTCGTGGTATACAATCTTTAAGCTAAAAAACAACAAACAACAAAGAAACAAGCAGGATAAGGACAGGTGGTTAAAAGTTTAACTATAAATCTAGGCAAAAGACCTGAATATAATGAAAAGGTGACTAAACTTGTTATTACAGACTGATGGTTTTCAGCCTACTTTCTACTTCACATAGTAATGCAACCCGTTATACTCACTTGAATGGAAGGGAGTAGTGAGATAAAATGTTTCAGAATTCCATGAAAATAATGCTTTAAAACGGCAAGTCATAGATTTTAAGAAGATAACTATTTTACTAGAATGATATTTCAGAAAGATTACAAGAAGCAATAAGGTGAGAAGAGGCTGAAGTTGGCAATAGCAGCTATATAAAATGGGGCTAAATTAAAAGAAACATAGAAGAAAATATGTACAGTTTAATAAGAGATTTGAAGAGTGCATGTGTGTGTGTGTGTGGGGGGGGGGTGTTGCAGGGCAGGAAGAAGCCACATTAGTGATAAGCATCACAGATACAAAGAGCAAGTTAGGGAGATAAAATTATTTTTTGCTTTGGATATGCTGAAATTTTAAGTGTCTTCACACCTATCTGTGTCTTAAATCCAGGGACCAATTAGATATGCAAATCTGGAGTTTTGAAAATGAAAATATCAATTTGAGAATTTCTGCATTAAAGTAATTAAACAACATACTCGAAATGTCCCAAGGAAAGAATATAGAGAAGTAATCATGAAGACAGTAAAAGATGGGTTAAAATTAAATTACAGCCAGTACATTCTACTTGGAAGAAAAAGACATTTGTGATATTTTGTTCACTGAGTTAAAGGCTAGAAAGACAAAGGTCTCAGAGAGCTTGCAACTTACTGCAGAAGACAAATACATAAGCAGATGATTATATTTAAAGGGAACTGACAAATTATAGGAAGGTGGCTACTATGAAAGCTTAGAAACAGAAAACAAAGGAAGAATAGTGGTATTAGAGTAATATTTCCTAAATGATGCCCAATACCTGAGCGTTGCACATGAGGGTATGTTGAAGATATGACAGAATTCAGAATTAAGTCTTATTTCTTATGTTATGAGTAATTTGACATCAAAGACTTTCAGACACATGGAATTATTTGTTTCTTCATTTTCTTTGAGGGGGAAAAAAAGTTTTCTCCAGTATTTTCATTTAATATTTCTGAATTTTAACTTTATTCTTACATCTATCTAGTGTAGGAAACATATCCTTCCCCCAAACCCAAATTATTTAACATCAAATCAGCTTATTTATTTTATATATAAATACACTTGTGAAATGTTTAAATATAAATTATGAGCACATACATAATCAGAGAAGCTGGCTTATATGAAGAAGAACTTAGCATCAGGATTAGAGGAAGGTTTATAACCTGTGATATGCAAATAACACCACCTTGCTTGCTTAAAGTGAGGAGGACTTGAAGCAATTGTTGATGAACATCAAGGATTACAGCCTTCAGTATGGATTACAACTCAATGTAAAGTAAACAAAAATCCGCACAGCTGAACCAATAGGTAACATCATGATAAATGGAGAAAAGATTGAAGCTGTCAATGATTTCACCTTGCTTGTATCCATAATCAATGCTCATGGAAGCAGCAGTTAGGAGATCAAAAGATGTGTTGCCCTAGATAAATCTGCTACACAAGATCTCTGTAGAGTACTGAGAAGTAAGGACGAAGACTAAGGTGGACCTGATCTAAACCACAGTATTTTCAATCACTTCATATGCATGTGAAAGCTGATCACTGAATAAGAAGACCGAAGAAAAATAAATGCATTTGAACTAGAATTTTGGCAAAGAACAGTGCAAGTACCATGGGCTGATAAGACAAACAAATCTGTCTGAGAAGATGTGCAACCAGAATACTCCTTACAGGCTAGAATGGTCAGACTTCCTGCATAGTTTGGACATGTTATCAGGAGAGACCAGTCTCTAGAGAAGGACATCATATTTGGTAAAGAGGAGGGACAGTGAAGAGGAGGAAGGTCCTCAAAGGGTTGGATTGACTCAGTGGCTACAGCCATGAGCTCATGCATAAGAACGATTGAGAGGATGGTATTGGACCAATGATGTTTTGTTCTGTTGTACAGAGGGTCACTAGGAGTCTGAACTGACTCGACTATACCTAACAACAACCATATAAATCAAAGATAAATGCCAAAAACATTGCCACAAAAATACATTATTATATATGAAGTTCGACTTTGTGACAAATTGTTCAAAATGTTCTCCTGAGCATTTATACTGTACACTTGAGAAACTAGGTAGGAATTGAAAGCTAACACACACACAAAAAAAAACAAAAAAAGAAAGCTAACACATGCAGCACACTAAGAGAAATATGACTTGCTGACTAAAAATATGATTAAATTTCATCAGTTTATTGAGCCACATGTGGAAAGAGAACTAATAGTCCCAAATATTATCTGACATATTTTACCTTAAATTTTTCTTGAATGCATATAGGGAGAAATTATCAGTAATAAATGGCCATGTGAAGACATTTGTTCAATTACAAATATGACAGTTCTGTCAACTTCATGGTTAAATGAATTTAATAAACTAAGTATATATAAAAGCTCTGGTTCATATTAAAAA